AAGACATTATTTCTTTCACTATATAATAATATTTTTATAGTTTTTAAATATTTTAATATATTTATAATGAAAGTTTTCTTGCATTTTGATCTCTCTTTTTTAAATATAGTTTTTTAAATCCATAAAATATTTTTTGTTTGATTTTGATTTTTTTTTGTTTGATTTTTATCACTTTGATTTTTTTTCTCTGATTTTTTTTCATAAAAAATTTTAAGGCAAAAAAATATTTAAAAACATTACAAAATAAATTTTTAGCTAAGAATCCATTGGGTTTAACATTCTTTATACTATTAAATAATTTTTTTATTAAAAAATTATGAAAAATATAAAGAATAATTAGTCAAATATAAAACTTGATATATTTTGATGAATGCACAATATAACACGAGATATTAAAATAAAATAATTTTATATATTTGATCCGATCCGAACCTATCGCGTGTAAAAAATTTAGTATTGGCTATAGGTAAATCTAAGCAGAAATTCAAGTCCCCGGTCGGTTGTTGGATTTGCCACCAACGATCCGCCGCAATCAGCATCCACATTGTTGTAGGGGTGATCATTCGGTTTTTCGATTCGGTTTCGTTGTTTTTTTTTTTTGGTTTTCGATTAACCAAATTGGCTAAAACAAAAACCGAAACCGAACCGAATAGATGTTTGGTTTTTTGATTAAAAATCGATTTTTTTTTTTTTGCATTTTTTTCTAAAAATCGAATTATTTTGCTTTTAAAAAATATCAAACTTGCATAATCAAAGATTGCATATTTTACATTTGATTTTATAAGAAAATTATGTATGATTATTATTATTTTTCTATAATAAATATGTTTCTATTTATATTATAAACTAAATTAGTTGGGCTTCTCATTATTTTTTCAATCACGCTATAATTGGTTTTTTTATTAATTTTTCATATTCTTTTTTTAATATATTAATTTTGTGCATATTTTATTGTTGAATGTATAATATGAAAAATCCATTTTTTAATTTATGTTTGTGCCAATTTTAATACAAGGAGACAATTTTTTTTCATGAGGTTTTAGGATTCACCCATATATAAATTTCTGTTTTTATAAAGAATTTCTTTATCATAATCTTTTTTTTATTATTTTTTTGTGAGTCAATATAATATAATCAATTATTTTTATTTCAATAAATAATTAATGAAAAATATTTCTATTTTAAGTAGAAAAAAACATTAAAGTTATTGTTTTTTTAGTTAAACCCATAGGTGCCTCTTTAGTTTTTATTTTTTATTTTTTAAGTTTAGGTATGTGTTTAAAAAAAAAACTAATTCGATTTTTGATGAAAACCGAATTTAAAAAAAAAATCGAACCAAATCGAAATAATTTTAATTTTTGATTTTGATTTTTTTATTATTTTTTAAAAATCGAATCGAAATTGTTAATTCGATTCGTTATGATTCGGTATTTTAGTTTTAACCTAACAGTTGATCTGAAAATTGGATAACTGCACTACCGCCGGGAGTGCCTTGAAAAACGGGATGGCAGTCCCCTAATCCTACGGCATTAATGACGAATGGACGAATGAGGAAAACGTCCAGTGACGATCATTATTGCCCGATAAGTTTTATTGTCTGAATGAGCACCTCAGCCTTCTTTGAAGGAAGACGGAAACTCCTAAATCCAACACACATAGTACTCGTCGCAAATAAAACATGTCCCAGCTAGATCTGTCTAGCGTCAATCTACGCAGCTACCATTGGATCCTACGGTTGTGTATGTAACTGCCATTAAAAAAGACCTATTTCTTTTCCACTCCTTTCGGGACATCTAAAAGAAAAGGGATGAAAAGAGTTCCTCTACCTCTTAATGGAGTAGATCGAGGAATAAAGACGTCACAGACGCTCTTGTTGAACAGGGTGGGCGTCTGATGCATGAAAAGAGAAGGGTCTTACGGTCATCGACACGTTCAACACAATTTCTTGTATTGAATTTCTAGTTATTGGCTTCTTGGCAAGATGATAATATATTAAATCCGATTAGTTTCGTATATTAAGATGCTTTAAATTTTGATTCATTTAAATATTTTTATTAAATATATGGTAAATCAATATATACATATATTCTCATAAAAAAAAGTTGGTGAAACACACAAATATATGTAATAGATCTTGCGCATGAGACTAGCTACGTTCCAATTGTAAAAGCATGCTAGATTCGAAACAAAAGAAAATGTCGATTTTTGTGCTTTAAAACTAAGGTAAATTTCAATACTTCATAATTGTTCCACGCAAACGTAAAATCCAAAAACCAACACAACCCTAGTGAGAAAAATAAAATAAACACATTATTTTCTTTTACAATTTTATTTCGCCGAACAAATAATTAACAATTCTCCTAGAATGCCACTCGCCAAAAAAAAGAAGAAGAAGAAGAAGAAAATATTATTTGGATATAAACATAGTTTAAATGTTAATAGTGCTATTACATTAAAGTTCATTTTTTATGAAGTGAAAATATGTTTTTTAACCTTTTCTTTTGAATAAAAATGTGGAGACGATACCAAATTATATTAAAGTGATACGAGTTTTACAAACTTTGATCAATATCTTTTATGTATATCGCATTAAGCGAGCATAATGTCTGAGAAAAAAGAGTGCTGAAAAATAGAAATATAACCTTTGTTTTTTTTGAAATGTCGTTAAGATAAGGTGAATGCTAGTAAAATAGATGGAATATATTCAATTGGCTAGACATTACGAGGACTCGTGTTTGGTGAGGCGGAAACGTTCCTTTTTGAAAATTAGATGTTGAAGAAAAAAATTCATGGACCCTTTCTAATCAAATCTCTCTAAAGCGATTTGCCGATTTCACGAGGGAGAGACGTGTAATTGATATTTTCTTAAACTTTAGGGTCTATCAAAACAACAAGAAAAAACAGTTTAGTCGATTTACACTCTATAGACAAGAAACAAAAGATGAAATTTGAAAAAAAAATTCAAAATTTGTAGGAGGTGATTGAAGAAACAAAATAAAATTATAACGCAATAATAAGAAAACTAGAACTGTCAATTGATTTATCTTGACTCGAATTTGATTTGATCGTGATGTAATTAAATGAATATATTATAGAATTTTTATGATTCAAATATAATCATATTCTGAATTCATTAATATGTTTAATAGATAGAACGAGATATGAATATATTTCGATTTGATCTAAATTAAAATTAATATTATTTTAATAGGTATAATACTTAAAACAATATGAAAAATACTACAATAGGTTTATATCTAGAGTTTATTTACTCTAATTAATAAAGAAATATTATATAAAATATTCTATATTTTTATTCATTTTCTTCCATATTGACAACTATTTTACAAACAATTACACAAGAAATTTTATTTATCATTTTTTTGAGTCTCAAATTAAATTTGTAAAAAAACTCTAAACTATGAAAAAAAAAAAACTAGAGAGTTGTTGCTAGTATTTTACTTGTATCTTTAAATTATAAAATCTTGATCCAATATAATCTTTTGTACATTTCAACCTTGTTATTGGAACTTTATCATACTCCTAACATAACTTAAATCAATTTTTATCTTTAATATAAATTTTTATACAAACTATTTGATTTTTTTAATGGTGAGATATTTGAATTTTTTTAATTGATATATTACATATTTATCATAATATTTTTTTATACATACAATAATTGAAATTTATTTAACATTGAAGTATACTTTTAAATGTAACAAATACTTATTTGAAAAAACTCAAATGATAAATTGAGTAAATATCCAAACCTGAAAATGTTAGGATTCAATCAAATGATTGTTCGTAAAGTCTGAATTTAAATTCATAAGATTTGATTATATTTATTTATTAAATAAATTGAATCTCAATCTATTATGATATTATTAGAATTTAACCATTATTCATTTAAAAAAATTAAAAATAAAAAAGGATAAAATTAGAACTTACAATGCAATGAATAAATTCTCTTACAAAAACAAAAAACAAGGAAAAAAAATCATGCGTGCCACGATAAATCACGACAAGGCGTAAAAATCTGATGAGATTAAAATCCTATTTTTTCGAAATTCTTCCAACGGCCCACGAAGCCACAAAGCAATCTTATTGTTATAAACAATTCTCAGTTCCCACTACTTTATTCATTGACCTTTCACGTGCTGGAATTTTTTTCGTGACTGTCATTATTATTGCCAATACAATCACGTCAATGTACGATATTTGTATTCATTAGCGCTGGAATATCTTTACTGAAAAAACTGTCCTTTTAAGATCTCACTTGAGTAACTGCCTGCTGTAACAAATTCAAAGTACCATGGATCCTCATTACCGGATAGTATCTTGGTCTTTATATCACTCAATTAATGTACTCTGATAAAGTTTCCATTTCAGTCTCACATCTCACTGATTTAACATAAATTTATTCTCCCATTTGCCCTCAGCTTAAATTCCCACTTCTTTATAGGATCGATCACTAACCAAAATTAACATGGTCGGAGAAAACCAAAATTATTTTTCTTAGAAAATGCTTTGGATAATTTCAATAACATTTCTGTAGAAATATAAAAACAAAAACCCAGAGTGAAATCACCTTATACAAATGTTTTTGCAGATATTTTCGATTTGACAGTACAGTATTAAAAAAAAACAATAATAAATAAATAAAAAAGGTTAGAGAGTGTAAAGCACGCGGATTTTGTTAGCGCGGTGAAGCAAAGTAGTTGATAATCCAGAAGTTAGTTAGCAAGAGTGTCGTGGCCAAAACCGTAAAATACAATGTGTAACCAATTAAAAAGGGTCCTCAACTTTCTCCATCCTTTTTTGCCCGTTCTCCGACCTCGAGACGGCACTCTCTCCCCTACTTCACCTCAGACACTACATCACTCTCTTTCTCTCTAGACACACACAGACACGCTCGCAGAGCTCATATGTTAACAAACCGTTTCCATTTCACTCTCATCACTATCTCTCTCGGTTTCAAAACCTAAACGAACTAATAAATGCCGCCGCCACCGCAACCGACGGAGCTCAGCCGTGTGGACTCGCGGATCTGGCGAGCCTGTGCTGGATCCTCCGTTCAAATTCCCACTATTAATTCTAGGGTTTACTACTTCCCTCAGGGCCATTTCGAACAATCCTCATCGTCTACGGCACCTCATCCCCCATTTCTCTCCAATCTCGCTCTCTCTAAACCCTTAATCCCTTGCCAAATCTCCGCCGTTGATTTCCTCGCCGATCCGGTAACTGATGAGGTCTTCACCAGACTTCTCCTTCTCCCTCTCGATAATCACTCCTCTAACCTCCCTCTCTCTTTTCTAGAACCTTCTAGAAGTGAAGGCGGAGGTGTTAATGACGTTGATGACGACGAGACTAAGATTTTGACCTTCGCTAAGATTCTAACGCCGTCAGATGCGAATAACGGTGGCGGTTTTTCCGTCCCTAGGTTCTGTGCCGACTCGATTTTCCCTCCGTTAAACTACCAGGCAGAGCCTCCGGTTCAGACTCTAACGGTCACCGATATTCACGGAATTAGTTGGGATTTCAGGCACATTTATCGAGGGACGCCACGTAGGCACTTGCTAACTACTGGATGGAGTAAGTTTGTGAACAATAAGAAGTTGATTGCGGGAGATTCGGTGGTTTTTATGAGGAATTTGAAAGGAGAGATGTTTATTGGAGTGAGGAGGGCAGTGAGGTTTAATAACAGTGCCAGGTGGAGGGAGCAGATTGCTGGTGGCGGTGTAGAGGGGAAAGTAAAGGTGGAGGAGGGATTTCCGAGGAGTGGGAGAGGGAGGTTGTCGCAGGAGGCTGTGGCGGAGGCAGTGGAGAGTGCGGCTAAAGGGTTGCCGTTTGAGGTTGTGTATTATCCAAGGGCAGGGTGGTATTCAGATTTTGTGGTGAGAGCTGAAGTGGTGGAAACTGCACTTGCTGTGTTTTGGACTACTGGGATGAGAGTGAAGATGGCTATGGAGACTGAGGATTCTTCCAGAATGACTTGGTTTCAGGGCACTGTTTCGGGTACTGGTTTGCCGGACTGTGGTGCATGGCGTGGTTCTCCTTGGCGCATGCTTCAAGTATGTATTCTATAATGTGTGTGCTGATTTGTCAGTTTTGTTTGGTTTATAGTGTGATTGGTTAATTGTTTTATACTGTTTATGGTCATGGAAAAAATATTATTTGGGAGGATAATGGGATCATTTGCTTTTGAGCTAGGAAGCAGAATTACATTCATTTTAAATGATTTTATAGTTCATATGGCTTGCATATGCACTAAACAATACCTGCCAATTTTGATTATGAACAGAAAAATATGATGAATACTGTGGACTAATCTTCCCTGTTGTATTTTTTGTGAATGATATCGAGAGTGTATATTAATCATTAAGAATAGATGAAAATGGTGTGAGAGAAAAATGAAGAACAGTTGGTGAATGGAGCAATGTATTTTTAAAAAGTGGATATCTGATTCTGGGTGATGCTTGAAGTAGTTGTATTTTTTTTCACAGTTTCCAATTTTTTGAATTTTATTTGTATGCTGTTTCCCGTGGCTTTGTTGCCTCTGATATTGAATTCACAGGGCAGTGTCTAGATTGGTCCAGCTAAGCTAGTATGCTGTACTTTCTTTGTCTTTGTTCTTCATGCTACCCAAGGCTACATTATTTATCTTGAAGCTATATGTTATGAAATATGATTGAGGTTTTCTTCAATTCCTTGCGAAGGAGTGCCACCTGAAGTTTTAAGAACTTTTTTATTGTTGAAATTTGAATTTCACTACTGCACTTGCTGGGACTTCTGGTTTGTTCCATGAGTCATTTGCCCTTTCCCAGGGGGATTTTATTGGCCCTGTGTCAAGAAATCAAGGTCAGATCGATGTTCTAATGGTTTGGGGTTCAATTAAGAATCTGTTAGAACATGATTCCATTGTACATGCAAAGTGGATATCAGCAGATGCTGTTTTAACTATTTTATCTTTTTCATGCTGTTTTCCTCTCTCTGATTTTATTTATGTCTAGGTTTTCACAACCTCTGCAGTTTGGTTGTGAAGGTCAAGTAATTTTAACTAGGTCTCTCTATCTTCTTAGTTCTTAAGTGTCTAACAGTTTTAGGTCAAGTTATGAGCTCGACAAGTGATTATCTGTTAATGATTCAGTTATATAGTTGCAGTTATACAAGTATTAGCATTTGGAAATTACTTCATTATAAAAGTATCAAAACTTTTGATACTTTTTTTCCCCGTATTTGCTGCCTTTTCAACTTTTTCTTTCTTGCACAGATTACTTGGGACGAGCCTGAAGTTTTGCAGAATGCAAAGAGAGTGAGCCCTTGGCAAGTTGAATTTGTTGCAACCACACCACCACTTCAAGCTGCATTCCCCCCGATGAAGAAATTGAGATATCCAAATGATTCTGGGTTTCTGACAAATGGAGAACTTTTCTTTCCTATGTCAGATCTAACTAATTCAACTATGGGACGAATGAATGCTTCAATGTTGAATTATAGTACTTTTCCTGCTGGCATGCAGGGAGCCAGGCAAGATACTTTTTCCACATTCAGTTTATCCAGCTTTATAAGTGAAAACGCTCCTCAGGTGTTCAGTGGCAAGGCCTTTGGAAACAACTTGGTGCCTAGGATGAAAAGAATGCCCAGTGAGATGAACATTGGGAGTTCACAGTCTGAGAACTTATCTCCTGAGAGCCAGAGCCAGAGTAGTGCACAGTCTTTTGCCACAGACTTGGTTGGAAACAGGGGCTTCAACCCCAAAAAAGTTGGAATTAACTCTATCCAGTTATTTGGTAAGATCATTCACATGAATCAGCCTGCTGAAAATGGTTTTGATGATGTTGGCTTGACAGATGACAGTAGTAAAGGTTGCAATGAAGCTGAAGGTGTTAATGCACTTGAACTTTCATTGACTTCCTCCTATACAGAATTACTGAACAGGATTGATGTCCAATGCCAAAGAGCTTCAGCTGTTGAGGCATGTTCTAGATGAACAAGTAGTTCTGCAATGCCATGCATACAAGTAGCTGTGCAGGTAAGGTGTCTGTCATTGGACCTCACAAACTCAATTATTTTATTCTTTCCTGAAATGTTACTTCACTAATTTTGATCATGCATTTTGGCTAGTTGTTTACAAATATTTAATTAATGATCAATTTCCTATAATATGGTTACTGCAGTGCAATCGCAACTAATTGAAGCCTTATCTCAAATGTTCTTCATTTAGCTTTTTCGATGTCATTACATTGTTGTCATGTTTCTCTTCTTGTATCATGTTCTCCAAGGTTTTTGTTTAGGTGCCCTAATACTGGTACATTGATATGTTCTTTCTTGATGTATCATGTTTCCCTTCTGCACATGTTACCTTGTGCTAGATTTAGAGTGTGGGTCCAGTACCTGAGGAATTCCCCACTGACATTCCTCCTTATGTTTGTTCAGTATCTACATTGCGTCATAGAGATCTTTAGATCTTTGCATTCTTTAACTTATTCCTAAACAAACCTGTTTCTTGTTGAAATAAACTGGAGGTTTCTTTTTTCATTAGAAGGTAAATATGGTGTAGCATTGAAGAATAAGTGGTTCTTTCCTAATACTAGATACAATCAGATTAGTTGAAATAAACAGCACTTTAGCTCTTAGAAGCACAACATGGTACACTACGCACTATTTTATCTTGAGTCTTGATTTTCTAAGCTACCTCTATAGTCAGTCAATTGTGTCTGAAGAACTAGTTCTTTTCTAATAGTTTGTGTTGAAATGAATTGTCAAAATCATTTCTTTGTTTTGAAGCAAAACGAAGTTCTGAAAGATTTCTATGAATTGCTGTGTAATAAAAGCGTCATGCTGTATGGTCAATACTTAAAAGTAATCTGTTCAAATTCAAAAGTTTGGCGTTGTGCATTCCAAAGGATTCCTTCCAATCTCCTTTCCTATTTAATATAGCAAGTTGTGCAAGTATTTGACGGTTAAAAAGAAACTGTCTCTTGTACAGATTGTTTATTAATGTACTATAGCTATATAATACTGCATTCTTGTGAATTACTGAATCATACAAGTGAGCCACAGATTATTTTTACTCACCTTCGGCATTTGGTTGTCATGGAAAGGGGTGAGTGCAAGAACAAGCCTTTCATATTAAATCCAAAAGGACTAAATATCTACTCCTTTCTTAAGCACAACATTTATAGATAAACTTGCCTTGTTTATTGAGAAATTAAGCGTTAAATTGCCTTTTTATGAACTAAGGCTTTCAACCTTGTAGTGCTGGATTTGCTGTACTTTATTAGCATTAACAATTCTCTCCGTCTTTGGATATGAATGAGTGGCAGCAGAAGGAAAAAAAGGCTGGAGCTGAAACATAAATATGGCCATTGTACAGTTTTAGTGATACATTTTTTTCCCCATCAAGAAGCCCGTCTCTGACATATCCTCTGTTTGCTCATGTTTGCAGGTTCTATCTGCATGCAGGGAGCTGACTTCTGATTAGACCCAGGCATTAGTAACCAGTCTTTGCTGGTTTAGTGTATGCTAGTTTGTTCTAGTTAGTGATGTTGGGAACTTGGAAAATTGACTTAGCATATGTTTAAATTTAGTGTTGGATATTTTCGTGGCATGTGCATATTGTTGGCTTCAGATTACTTGACTTTTCTTGTTTGTTTGTCTTGAAAGTGAATTGCGGTTTCAACATTTGACCTAAAAACAGGGGATGCTTGTTTTGCTGGTCATGGAAAATGATGCTTCATCAGGATATGTAAGTCAATATTAAGAGTGGTGGGCAAATGCCGTCCAGTAGACATGCCTATGTTTTTGTTGTCTAGAAGTTGAAATTTGAGTGCATGTGTTGAGGTTGGGCTGATAATGCGAACTTTGCTTGTTTACAAGCTTTCGCTAGAATCATTTATTCTTTTTAGAATAAACCGAACTGGCTCCATTGCTCTATCAATGTTGGAATAAACCAAACTGGCTCCATTGTTTTTAGAAAATCGAAAATCGATTTATGTTTTTTTGAAAATTATTTATTCTTTTTAATAGAGGTACATGAAAAAATTTCTTGTACAAACTTAATTTATAACAATATAATAGTATGTTATTAAATAAAAAATATAAATAATAATAATATTATTGAAACAAAAGCAATGGTTGTAATAATTGTAGTGGTGGTGGGATTACGTGGGTTGTGATAATAGCGGGGATGGAGATGATGGTGACGGAGTTGGTGTAGTTGTGAGGGTGCGTTGATATAGTGTTAGCGATGTTAGTAATATGATATATTATTTAAAAAAAAACTAAAATAAAAAATAGAAAATCACATTTTGTTGATTTCACAAATCTTTTTTTTTTAATTATTTTAAAAAATGCAACAATGTAACAAAATATTACATATATATAAAGACAACAGAAACCGCAGTAATAGCCAAAAAAAAAAAAAAAAAAGGTAAATTATAAACAAGTCCTTCTAGTTTCAAAAAATGAATTAATTGGTTTTATATTTAATTTTCTTTGTAATTTAATTCTTTTCGTCATTTTTCAATTTATTTTGATATTTTATTTTAAGAGATAGAAAAAAAGAAAAAAGAAAAATTATGAAATAAATTATGAAAAAAGATGATATTTTAAAAATAAAATGATATAAAATTAAACATGGTTAATACTAGTTAAAAAACTAAATAATTAATTTTTAAAAGAAAAAGATTATTTGTCTATTTCTAAAAAATAAAGGAACCACATTTTAATTTACTCCAAAACTTCTTATTAATAGCTTTCGGGTTTTTTTTTTTTTGGTAAGAAAGTGAAAACATTGCATACTTTATTAACACTATACATGCTCGGACAAAAAAATTAGATTGTTCTTTTTAGCTCTTTTATTTATTTATTATTATTATCAAGAGCAAAAAAAGGGCTTAAAGTGATATTATAAATAAATAATACAAAAAAAATAAAAAGTTGACTGTGTGATAAATAAAGCAACATACCAGTTGGTACTTTTGTCCTTCCAAAGAAGTGTAAATTACAAATTAGTTTCTTTATTTTTTGAAAACGAATTAATTAATATTTTTTTAAATTAATTATTTAATTCCTTAATCATTGTCGATCATGTTTAATTTAATATTCTCTTATTTCATAAAATGTCATCATGTCTTATTGATCTTTCTATATTTTCTTACTTATATTATCTTCTTTTATCTCTTAGAATAAAGAAATCAAAATAAATTAAAAAGAAGTAAAAAAATTAAATTACAAGAAAATATAAAATTTAAATAATTAGTTTTTAAAGAAGGATTAATTAATTTGATTCTTTTAAAATGTATACCCTACCTGCTATAAAGGAAAGGCATACCTATTATCTAATTTATTTCAATTAGAGAACTAGTTAATTATTCACTCTACGCTTTGATCATATTACCATTATATAAGCAAAGTTAACGATTCATATGATATGATGTGAATAGATATTTTGCTTCTAGAGGTTAATGTAAATTGAATTTATATATTGAGCGAACTTATTTTATTTATATATATTTGTTAACAAAATAATTTATAATATTAGTATAAAAATTTGTATTTGAATAATTAATAGGTTCTTTCAAAACCTCAATTAACTTATTTTATTTAAAATACAGATCTTAGAACATGAAAAAAAATAAATAACAAATAATTGACGTTATGTGTGCAAATAGAATTAGTTTCTAACAAAACTATATATATATATAGCAGATTCGTAGTACATATAATAAATAAAAAAAATATTAAAAAACCACTTAAATTGCACATAATATATCGAAGTGAATAGATTTAAAGAAAAACTATTATAAAATTGGTTTCGATAAATTCTGATTATATATATACATAACCAAATAAAACCTATGAATTTTTTAACGAATTAATAATTTTTGTTAACAAAATTTAGTCAAATTATTATTATTTAAAAAAAATTAAATTAAATTATCTAAAACACACTTTTAGTTCTCTCTTCCTCATTAGAATTTATATATGTAACTACGCTACTCTCATTCAAAAATCATAAAAATAATCAAGTGCATAAATTATAATAATATATTTTAAAAAATAAAACAATCATGTTCTAAAATTTTATTTCAAAATCCATATATAAAAAAATCAAGTTTATTAAAAAATAAAATTATATAAAATTAAAAAATTAATTCGATGAGAATTTTAATAAGAAATAAATAATTGAAGAAATAAATTTTAAATAATAAAAATAATATAATCGATAATTAATATATATATATGGTAAAACTAAAATCTAAAAAAATATCATATATATTTTATTATTGTTAAACTGTATGTAAACTAAAAAATAATAATATTTTTATATCTTGACATCTAATTTGATGATAAAAAATATAAAAATGAATTATTGAAAGGAAAAAAGAAAAAAAAAGAAAAAAGAATGCAAACGCTGGTTGGAAGCTAGGGCACGCCTGCTTGAGCCTGCTTCTCCAAAGCCAGGATGCTGGCCGGCCCTTTAAAAAAAAAAACTACAGCAAATAAATAGAAAAAACCATAATTCTTTTAGTTTTTTTTTTTAATAATAGATAAGAAAATTAGAGATGAAAATTGCAAAACAGTTTTTTCAAAAATAAATGCAACGCTATTTATTTATTTAACTTTATGCTGCTTTTAGTTTTTTTTTGTTTTGCAGCACACAGATCCTTTATAAATGAATAAATCTATTGAATTGGGCTTGAGAATTATCCAGCATAATCCCACAGTTAAATGTAAAATGGTGAAGGTTGATTGAAGGATGGGATTCTTGTAATTAAAAAAAATTGTACTCAAGGGTAGGATTCATGTAATTTAAAAAAATTGTTACAGGTAAATAAGGGAAAATGGAAAATTAAGTCGGGGTTCAATAAAAATTTTCCTATTTGATTAATTTTCGATGTTCAACTAAAATTTTGTCCTCTCCTTTGTTTTCAAAGAAATAAATTAAGGTCATCCTTCCAGAGAGATCTTAGACAGAGAGAGGAAGAGCTCTAAGGTTGAACGGAATCGACTGAAACAAAAAAATAAACTGCGTCGTTCAATCAGGGAAAGGGACATTTCCGATTGACAGGCATAACCGATAAATCGCCAATTTTCTTATCATTCAATTTCAATGGCCGTTTCGCTCTCTAATCACACTCTCTTAGCTCCTCCTCGCCTCTCTGCTTCTTTCTCTTCAAAACCCTCCAAAACCCTAGAATTCAAAACCCCATTACCCCTTCAACCTCTCCACCGCAGACCCCTCCGTCTCTGCAAACCCATCAATGCCTTCCTTCTCTCCAATCCCTCTCCAATCCCAATTAACAACAAGAACAGCATTAAAAGGCGTTCTTTGAAGGTTTATCTCTTACCTCAAGACTCTGCTCCTACTCCTACTGTATGTATTTCTTATCCTTTTTAACCTTGTTTCATTTTCCTCTCACTTGTATTAATGGAAATAAACAACCAAGATAATGAGATTTTGCTATTTGAGTAAAGAGAAGTTCCATTTCAAATCATTCTGTGATGTTTTTTTCTTTCTTTCCTTCCTTCTTGTTATTTATTTAGACAAATGGGAAGGAGGAGAATAATTCGAACGAGGAAAATGGGAAACGAGGACCCAGTTTGAAGAACCTTATGAAAATTTACAGGCAGGCTATTTTTTACGGCGACGAGAAGACTATATTGGATATTGAGGCTAAGATAGGCACAATAGAAAAGGAGAATGATGAATTAGTCCAGAAAGTTTCATCTTTATCGGCTGAGATAACCTCTGGGAAGGAGAAATATATTCGCTTGCAAGCAGATTTTGATAACTTTAGGAGAAGGTCGGAGAAAGAAAGGCTTAACATTAGGAGTGATGCTCAGGGAGAAGTGATTGAGAGCCTTCTGCCCATGGTGGACAGTTTTGAGAGAGCGAAGCAACAAATACAACCAGAATCAGAAAAAGAAAAGAAGATTGATACAAGTTACCAGGGTATATACAAACAATTTGTGGAGATTATGAGGAGCTTGCAGGTGGCTGTTGTGCCAACGGTTGGAAAGCCTTTTGATCCTTCGGTAAGTGAAAATTCCTGAAGTTTACTTCATTTTGTATTCAGTATTATCAATGATGCCTTTTCTCGTTGTTGCTTTTTTGTGATGATGATTAACACTGAATGTATACTCTATTTCCACCACCTCTACATATTTGATGCAATGATTCCAGAACTCAGTTTATGCATGAACAAACAAATAAATAATGGACTGCAAATGATATTTGTCCAAATTGAGAATAAATTGGAATTGGGGGAAGTTTGGGATTTTGATCGGCAGTTCTCAACTTCTCATTGCTAACCTCTGCTTCTTAGATTTACTTCCAGATTAGAAGGCCAACTTCATAGTCCTATGATGTTTGAATGTAAGACACTGTATTATTATTATTTTTTTCTGTAAGAGCCATTGTATTATAAATGGTTTTGGCAGAATCATGATCAGAACCTATATTTTCTGGAAGGATGGAATAATGCCTTTAAAATTAAGTAATATGGGCATCAGAGCATGAACATATTCAATATGGCTTCTGTTAATACTTGAGTTTGCCTCCTTTTTCTTGTAGCTGCATGAGGCCATTGCACGTGAAGAGTCTCAAGAGTACAAAGAGGGCATTATAATTCAAGAATTCAGGCGTGGATTTCTCCTTGGAAATCGGCTAATAAGACCCGCTATGGTTACAGTTTCTTCTGGACTTGGTAGTAAGAAAGCTTCAGTGGGTGCCGAGAAACGTGCTGAGCAACCTGCAACAGCTGCTGGAATGGATCAATGATGGTATTGCCGTGCAAGCAAGTTTTGGAAATGAGGATTTTCTTCGACTTGCCATCATGTGGTTATTGCTTATCAGCTCTGAAACTTTTGTTGTTCATTCAAAATTTATGATGTGCCCAGGGAGAAAAAAAATCATCCCTTGTCGTCCAGGATGTAGAATTCAGTTTTTATGTTTTACAAACATACATTTTGGAGACATTTGGTCGCAGGAAAGGGCAACAAAGTCTTCTTGATACGTGTATACGCACATCATGTGCAAGTGACTCTCATTTAATTAGCGTTTGTGCCAACGTGTTTTACTAATCGCATTCTGCATTTCTTGGAAGATAATTCCGTACCATTTTTTCACATTTACATTTTTCAGTGTCAGGATGTGGGAAGATTTGGAAAAGGGAGCCCAATAATTACACGCTGCTCTGGCGGATCATATATATAAATCAGACTCCTGGCCGTGCCCCTTGAAAGATGTTCCTTGTGTATCTTTTCTGTAGACTGGAAATCGACTGCTCTATTAGCATTGTATTATGTTTTTTTTTTTGGTTGGGCTAGTAACCACAAAATGCTAGTTCCTTCTCATCTCAAATGCATGCAAAATTTGATCCCTATCTTTGCGAATATGTCACGCGATTTTAACCAACTGTTTGATCCCTTCAATCATTAATAAATTAGCCATTAGAAGAAAATAAAGCTCATCTGAACTTTTTGTTAAGCGTGGTGTATCTCTATCACGATAAAGCTAAATCTACTGGTTCTGCACTTTGGAAGGCACAACGTTTGCTTGTTCACTGATAAAACATTTCATGAGGGCACAAATTCGTTTGGTACAAAATACCGATAAACGGTGATAATTGATGCTTGAGGAACATTAACAATAATCAAAGAACTTCAGATCGCACTGGCTTCTTCTCGACAGTTAACAACAATCACGGAGCTTCAGATTCGGAAACCCGCATTGATCAACTGATTTTTGTATCGACGCAACCTCCTGCATCATGATTTCCCAATATTGACAAATGTATGTACAGGCACAATCACCAATCATGTCTATTATCTCCTGAAACTTGATTTATCTATTGGGAACCAATGATAGGTGTTGCTTTTTTATTCCTTTGCCACCCGTTTCTCCCCGCCAAGACAAGCAAAAAACCAAGAAGTTCAATCTGCTGCTAATCCAGAGCTGTTTATCCTGCATTGCCACCAATCCTCCCATTAGATTTAATAATTTAATAACTGATATTCATTGTTTTAATCACTCAAAAGTACATCATATGCCCAGAGAAAGTTAAATTATATCATTGTGTTTCACCAACAAAGTCCCCATGTCCTTATAGTTTAATGAAGGCTATTTAAATCCCGGCACTCCCTTCATACCCTTCTAGGACTTGAGCATCAAAGACCACAAGCCCCTGCCAACTCCTATGCTACTTGAAGAATTGCGATACCCTCAAATGCAAGGACCCGTAGCCTCCAAAACAAACCAAAAGAGGTTATTCCTTCTTTTGACTTGGTATGTCTTCTAGGTTGTGCATCCTAGATTAAGGAGCTGAAGAAATGAACTACAGAACCAAACAATCAACGCAGAAAGGCCCAGTAATCTCCCTTTTCCCATACTTCCTTAACCTTTTCTTTTGGAAATTCTCACCAAAACAAAGAGCTCTCAAGCAACTATTATAATCAATCACATTTGATAAAGACAACAGCTTCTTAGGAACAAACTATCAGAACAATGAACTGTATCTACACAGAAATCGATCAACTCATACAGCATTCTATGTGAGGTTTGACTACGTTTTTTTCACAGATTATCTACCCTATACTAGGCCAACCATAGCCATGGAACGGGCCATCTAAACCCATGCGAAAAATATAGCATGCTAAAGATCACATCCATGGCATTAAAATCAATCAGCACAACCATCTAAAGTCCATCATTCAACAATAACTTCAATGCCTCAATACGCACAGATACCTCATGCTTTGCTTCGTGACCAGGCGTACATAAAACAAATGAAGAACACCTTGTGGGTTGCGCTACGAAGCTTCCACAGCTGTAGCAGTGTTCAAGATCAACATAAAAACTAGAAACCCAATCACCAGTTTTTTTTAGGATAAAAACTAGTACAGCTAAAATCTTGGCTATTGTGTCATCATCACAAAATTACTTGACTGATTTCTTGCTAAAAAGCATACTTTGTAATACATCTTCGATCACGAGATACTAGAATTTTGAAAAAAATAAAAATAAATAAATAACTATCCAATTGACTATCTACATAAATCAAAGAATGGAACATTCAAATTCTGACTCTAACCTGAAATCTTAATTTAATAAATAAAAAAAGTAACAACAAGAAAAAGATCGACCATAAAAAATTACCCAGCAGGAGTGGAATTTCGGGCATCAATGATATCATAAATTCTTGATATTCGACGGGTCAGTGGCTTAGGCTTAGTGGGTTTTTTACGCAGGCCGAAAATCTCTTGAACCAAAGGCACATGTACTAGCACTAACTTCCATGCCAAAAACCATCCTGATTATCAAATTTCCAACAATCAAATCCTCAAATTACAGTCGCTAACGAAATAACTGAAGAACAAAAGGAAATACATACATACCAATAGATATAAACAAAATCACAAACAAGATTGCGAGAACAGGACGCAAAAGTAACAAACCCAAATAATCCCAATGAGAAAGAGAAGAAGACGACGAGGATGACGAGGAGAAGGAGGAGGACTCCATAGACACGAGCAACCAATTTAGACAGCAAAATTTATGATGGGGATGGATATGTAAGCAAAGATAATGGGCTTTGGCCCATAGAAAGGTTGGACGTTTAGGTCAAAATAACAATCGCTCTCATTCAAGGTCGGTCAGAGTTTATTAAAAACGAAAAAAAAAAGAAAAAGAAAAAAGAAATGGCGCTGGTGTAACTGTGTCTGCACCTGACTGAAATTTGGTCCACGTTAGCTAACACTTCACCTAGAATTAAACTTGAAGTTACCGGCTATTCCCAGTCAATTCACCAGCGTTCCCATTTTCGGTCCAGGTTCATTTCTCATTATCATTTAACTACCCATGGCGTTCATTCTAATTTCTCCATCAAAAACAAATTCTCACTCACCATTTCCAAACTAGGGTTTGCTTCTGATTTTCATGGAAGCCTCTGTTAACACAAGAACACCAGCAAGAGTTCGTTACTTTCATTGTAATTGGGTCAAACGCTGTTGTTGTTGTCGCTGTTTCTGTTGTTTCTACTCTTACCCCTGAAAAAAAAAAAGTAGAACCAGAAAGCCCTAAAAGAAATCCCCAATTTTTAATTTTTTTTGGAGATGGATTTAACACAAGCAGCACAATCAGGCCTCTCACTTGGATTTCACTCGAGTCCGATTCCACTGCAACTACTCGATCAAAAACAACAAACCCACATCGATAACGAAGAGAATCAAACAGAAGATGAGCAATTTAGCATTTTGGGTCATCAAATGTGTATAAAGAGACCGAGAGATAACAGTTCTCAATCATCATCGTCATCATCGACGACAAATTCATCCAAACGGGTTGCTGTGGATCTGGGTTTGGAGTCTCGTCGGGCTATGGTTCGGGCATGGGGAAACCACCCGCTTCCAATTGCGGATCCAGAAATTCATGAGATTATGGAGAAGGAGAAACAAAGGCAGTTTAAAGGTATTGAATTGATTGCATCAGAGAATTTTGTTTGCCGTGCGGTTATGGAAGCTCTTGGTAGTCATTTAACTAACAAATACTCTGAGGGATTGCCTGGTTCCAGATATTATACCGGAAATCAATATATTGATCAAATTGAAATTATTTGTTGGAGTCGTGCCTTGACAGCTTTTGGACTTGATTCTGATAAATGGGGTGTTAATGTTCAGCCATATTCCTGCACTTCGGCTAATTTTGCTGTTTACACTGGGCTTTTATTGCCTGGGGATAGGATCATGGGGTTAGATTCGCCTTCTGGAGGGCATTTGAGTCATGGGTATTATACACCGGGAGGGAAAAAGGTGTCAGCTTCTTCGATTTTTTTTGAGAGTTTGCCTTATAAAGTGAACCCACAAACTGGGTATATTGATTACGATAAGATGGAGGAGAAGGCTATGGATTTTCGACCTAAGATACTGATCTGTGGTGGGAGTTCGTATCCCAGAGAGTGGGATTATGCGAGGTTTAGACAAGTTGCTGATAAGATTGGTTCTGTTTTGATGTGTGATATGGCTCACATTAGCGGGCTTGTGGCAGCTAAGGTTTGTAATTTTGATTTTGCATAATTTTTATGAGTTTTCCAGTTTTATTTATCATTTTTATTTCGAATCTATGGACGTTGGTTTTGATTTGAAGTTAGGGTACAAAGTTACCACCTAAAGTCACGAGTGCTTGATTGATCAGCTTGTGCTTTGATATTATGAGTTGCCACTAATTTAACAACTTCTAAATTGTATTTGCTCACACGATATTGGGATGCATTGAGAAATATTTGCGGTTATTCAACACGTGACATGTCAACAACAGATAGATACACACCCTTCTCTTTATGTAGGCATTGCATGGTAGAGTATATTTCAAGTAATCTCTCTAGTCAAGCTGTTTCTATTACTGGTTTGTGCTCTTGAGGAGAAAACGTGACTGTTTTCTAGCATTTTGCAAGAAGGTAATATAGTGTTACTTGTAGGGAAAGGATGTGCATCTCTTTCTGGTCTAGTTTTTACGTGAAACCTTAAAATTGTCGCATGCAGAATCCTTTTTCGATAGGTCATTTTTTCTGAAATGGAATTTAATGGCTTAGAATTGCTTGGTTTCTTATCTTACCACTTGCCTACTGCTGTCAATGCCTAAACTAAACATGAACATGTGTATTAGAATCTAAGAGATCTATTGTGCATTAGGATTTCGATTTTAATGTGGATTTATTTGCTGGAAGCATGCATTTTTAAGTGCTTGATGACTGATGGAACAGTTTCCTATTGAGAAGAACAATTTTGTGCAACAGAAATTATACATTGATCTGCAATTAAATTAGCAGAATTTTTTTTCCTTACTGTTGTTTCGCCTGTCTTTCACAGGAATGTGTTAGTCCATTTGAATATTGTGATATTGTTACCTCTACAACTCACAAAAGTCTTCGAGGCCCTAGAGGGGGGATTATATTTTATAGGAAAGGCCCAAAATTGAGGAAGCAGGGCATGCTTAGTCATGGTGATGGTAGCAGCCATTATGATTTTGAAGAAAAGATAAATTTTGCAGTCCATCCATCATTACAAGGGGGTCCTCACAATAATCACATCGCTGCTCTTGCCATAGCCTTAAAACAAGTGGCTACACCAGAGTACAAATCATATATGCAACAGGTGAGGAAAAATGCTCAGGCATTAGCTTCTGCTTTATTGCGAAGAAAATGCAGATTGGTGACTGGCGGTACTGATAACCATTTGGTGTTGTGGGATCTAACTACTTGGGGCTTAGCAGGTATTATATTTCTATCCTTGCACATGGTTACTTAGACTAAGATCGCAATTAAACATATAATTTTGTTGGTTCTAAGGCTGGCAAGAACTTTTTTAAATTTCCCACTTATTTGAACCTCGCTGTAGCCTGTTTTATTTGATTGTGAAAATGACCAACCAAAATTCATAATTGGCCAAGTTACACAAAAATATAAAGTAATTTCAATGAAAATTTACGTACTTTTATGAAGCTTAAGGTTGTCCTTCACATTATATTATATTTATATTTTTTTCATTGATCAGCAATTTGCGTCAAGAATGCGTAGACTGTCATTGCTTCTTAGGTGCTGTAAAAATAAAGTTTTGGCAATAACTATATAATCAGCTCTAAATGGAACAAATTTGAACGTAGCATCACTTCTTAGTTGACATGTCATCCCTGCTAAACAATCCACCCTTGAAATTGGATGTTCAAAATTTACTTGTTCCTGCTATTCGTCTACACATTTTTTGTCTTGTCTCAAAGAGCAACAAGTTGTCCTTTCCACATGTCCAGTCAATAGTTGTTTGACACTGTTTTATAATACCTTTTTTATGAGCATACAATGTGTAAAACCAAGAAGCAGTATCCTCGTGATGAGATTGCATTCTATGCTTGATGCTTTTGTTGTTTGGCTCCCATCATCTCATTCTATTTATGCTTGTATTTCTTAAGGTTATGTGTCACTGAAGTTCTCGATAGGATGAATTTTCTTAGTACATTGACTACTTTGAGTTTCAGTTTGATTTTCATGGGCATTTCTGCTCGACTGCCTTGTTTTGTTGAAAAGATTCCAGTAGTCATAGTCTAGAAAATCTAGGCTACCTCTATTGCATGCAGGCTTATGAGTTTGGCTTTGAGCAGACATATCTGTGCGGAAGAGATTGATGTATTATTTAAGTGGAAAAGATATGAATTGCCAATGGTGTAAACGTTGCTCACCTATACTTGTGTCCCCATTGGAACACTTGAAATGGACTAAATGAATCTTGTATAATCCAATTCAGCAACTCCTTTCTGCAATATCCCCCTTCACTCTCCCTTCTTCTTCTTTTCTTGTAAAGACCAAATGGGATTGATTTAGGCATTAGGGTTAAGCCTTTTTTGATTGAATTATCCTTTACCTTTTCAAGAAAGCCTGATTCTTCCGGGGACCATTAGTTCTAGTTGGGACCTAGCGGATAATGACAGATCTCAAGTGCATGTATCAGTACCTGTTTGGAGAAGGAAATCATTGGAGGGACAAAGCTCCTGTTCAAGGCCTTCCAAAAAACTGCTCTAAATAGTTATATTCTCTCTGAACACTACTCAGAGTAGCAGTCCTATTTGATTCTTGATTCCACTTTCTTTTTTTCTCCTTTTAAGTTCTTGTAGGGACATCATTTAATACTTTAGCTTTAGAGTGGTACAATCTTCTTGTTAAAATGGTAGCTTTTATGGTAACAAGGCCACAGTAGATGGAGACCTGGGTGGGTGGTTCATAGCTTCAATTGTTTATGTAAATGTACATACTATGTATTTCTGTGTATGTAACTTTTCATCCCAGTTATATAGGCTTTATTTTTCTTCTAGTACACATGATCAAAGGTGTGTTTATGCATGTTCTTGGCTGTACTTTAACAAATCATTCATGTTTGTTTATATGTTCCTTTTACTCTCCTAATGACCGTACTCCTATTCTTTCTTCCAGGCAAATGTTATGAGAAGGTGTGTGAAATGTGCCACATCACTCTAAATAAAAGTGCCATTTTTGGTGATAACGGTGCTATCTGTCCTGGGGGAGTGAGAATTGGTAAGTTGTAATCTTGTCAAGCTCATAATTTATCAATTTTCAATTAATTTAAAGAGAATTTTAAGGTTATTAAGTTTGAAATTTCCAGTCAAATTTCTTTCGTATTCTAGATATACTTTTAAAGACAGCCCAAGATGATTTTTCGCGGCAGAAAGTAGATGATATTATTAGCTTGCGGTGGCCTTGTAGTGGATCTTGTTTACTCCTGATTACTCCAATTTCCTTGTGACCAATTTTTCTTTTTGTTGAATTCCTGCATTTGAATGTCAAGTTAATAACATGTTATCCTAATGACATTATGCTTTCTTCAATTTCTAAGTTTTTCATGGTCTTAACCTGTTTCAGGTACTCCTGCTATGACGTCAAGAGGTTGCTTAGAGGCTGATTTTGAGACGATTGCCGACTTTCTTCTTAAAGCAGCTCAGATTACGACTGTTGTGCAGAGGGAACTTGGAAAAAAGGATTTTCTCAAAGGTCTTCATAACAATAAAGATATTGTTGAGCTTCGAAATCGGGTTGAGATATTTGCTTCTCAGTTTGCCATGCCAGGATTTGACATTTGAATATGTAAAAGAGGCAACTTGCATGCACAGCTATAGATCTTTTTTTCCTTGCCTTTGTGGCTTGCTGCCATTTCCGCATGGTAACCCATCCCTTTTTCCCCCCAAATGTTTGTTAGCTTTCATTCATCTTGTGTAAATTACAGATATAGTGGATCCCCAGTTCCAAGTTGTTTTTTTCCATATTTTGTACAAGTTTTTATTATGAGTTACTCCATTTAAAATTTGTCAAGGGTCGGCTAAGTTTCTTTATGTTTGTTTGTTTAGAAAAAAACAATTAGCATCATCTTGATACCTCCTTAATTATGATTTAAACAGGAAGACATCCTGCCTTATATCTCAAATGAATTTAACAAGCAAAACATGATGACGGTATCTTGCTTTGGGACTAAAGAGCTTGTAGTCCAGTGCTAATAGTCTCTTGTAAGAAGTCACGGTTTCAAATAATTTTACTAGGAGTCTTGGTTGGGTGTGTGTGTGTGTGTGTGTTAAGTATGTTGCTCTTGGTGAATGACTTTGCCCTTCTCCTTTAATGTCTGTGATACAGATTTAAATTGAGATATGCGTGAAGCTAAGGCAGTTTCAATACTTGTTCGGCTGCCTGTGTGTCTCTGTACTTGTTTAATTGTGTGTTTTTGTACAGTGTGAATTATTTTACTAGTTACTACTTGGTTCTCTTCTGTTATGGGGATCTTATTATGCTAACCGCAAATTATATCACCGTACAAAGGACGTAAGGTGGGGGACAACTGTAAACAGTTGGTTTCGATTTTTCTTTTAGCATTGCTTGCTGTGTCATAAAATTTTGTTGAAGGATGGATGGAAGAACATAATTGGTTGTGATAATTAAAGGCCTGTTCTGTGGTTTAAAGGGTAATGATAATTCACAGTATGCTGCCGGCTGCCCACAGCTTTGTAGGTACACAACTTTGCTGCTAAAAACTGCCTGCTTCTGGTGCAGCTACCTTTATTTATTTAGCTAGATTTTGTCGTTATGTTTTCTCCTTTTCTTCTCCATTATTTTATTATTCAGCATTCTCTCATGTAGAACCCTTGAAGGGAGGCAAGGCATGAATTTCCGGCAAGGGACAAAAAGCATGAGATACGGTTAGAAATGAGAAAGTGACCCTCCATGTTTCGTGTATTTTATATTACCCCAACCCCAAAAAAGGGGAGAGAAATTGGCAACATAGCATAATTATCTTGAAGAAAGAAAGAGAGCTCAGAAGCGACATGTCAGGAAGAAGTGTGTAGTGATAAGAAGCTTTCATCATCAACTCGATTGCTTCCGAGTGAACCTAATCAGACAAAAGCTTTCTTCCTAAGAGCAAAGAGGGATGGATGGCTGCTTTTGAAATTAAAGCGAAGCCCAGGAATCTCAGTCCTCTCTCTATAAGCCCCAAGCCTCCTTTTCCCGTATTTTTTTCACTACTAGAATGATTAGTCATTTACTATCACAACTAGACAGCACTTCTATGACTATGCAACCGGAACAAGAGGGAAACCACTTTGAAAATTATCTGTCATCTCTCACTCTCCGAAGGTATGAGAAAAATACAAGAAGAAGCTTCCCTTTGTGTTGTTCCACTTTAATAAATGGTAGGAAGCAACAAGATGCTGGGTTTTCATTTTCATGTAAAAAAAGGTGTTAAGAACTGTAGTCCCTGCATAATATCTATCCACGAATTCTTCTGCCCAATTTTTTTTCATGGATTCCCCCTTTTATGTTACTTTGTTCAATTCAATATCTTTTTCCTTTTGCTTTCCAACGAAAACCTACAGAACTACCATAGCAACCACAATAAACAAGAAATTCACATGGAAGGAAAAAGAAAAGGGAGAGGAAAAATATATGAAAATTAAAAAGAAAAAAGAAAAAGAAAAAAGGAGAGAAAATAAATAGAGAAGAGAAGGGTTAAAGGTACAACAACCCCAACAACTGCTTCATCTACCTTGTATTTTTGTTCTTCTTCTTCTTTTTTTTTTTTTCAACCGTTCTATTTTTGTTTTTTGTTTTGTTTTTTTTCCTTCTCTCTTCCTACCTATGACTGCAGAAGTCCAAAAGTTTCTTCCTTCCTTCAACAATCTCATCAAAGAAATCATCAAGTTGCCCAACAATATTTTCAGCTCCAGATCTCAACACCCCAAAGCACCCTCTTAAGTTGTCCACTCTTTCTCTTATCCCCACCTCTGTTTCCCACTCTACAGCTCCTCCTTGTCCACACTTTCTCTCAAGCTCTCCTCTAAGCTCCTCCATGGCCATCTTTGATGTCCTGAACTCATAAAGCAGAATCCCTGGCCTCCCGTTTATCTGGTTTATCTCGGCTGCTACTCTCTGCTGCAATCTTCCTGTTGAGATCATGAAAGCTGATCCAAAAAACAAGCACCCTTCATACCCTCCTCGCAGAAAACTTGATTCTGGCCAACAATAGACTAGTCCATAGAGCAGGATCATTAGTAGCAAAGAGCTTACGTTTCTCATTGCATATAAAACCCCACGAAAACCACTGAATCCGTTGAGTTTGGATTCAATAGAAATCTTCTCATCAAACCTCAAGGATAGTGGTTGGATTCTTGTTTCCATTAAAGCTCTATTTTCTTCTTCTAATCCCACTGCTTCTCTTCTACACCCGGAAATTGCCCTTATAACCTGTTTCAAGAATTCAAATTTTGTTTGTGAAGAAGCACACTTTATGTTGTTAAGTTGCATATATTTATAGAATGAATCGAGAAATGACAGAAGTTATGAAATTTTTTGTTGTTGAACCTGGCGAGAGAGCTGGGAGCTAAGATGGCGATGATTGTCAAGAGAAGAAGTGATATTGAATCCAGCAGAGTAGTAATTTTCGATGCCGGATATGCCTGATTTAAGGACATGACATGCCTCCCATAGCTTAGAACTCTCATCCATGTATTCATCCAGCCACTTATCACCAACAGGCAAATGGAGTTTTTGGACAAGCAAAGTCAACTGGGAGTGAAAAGATCTTAATAAAGAAAGAACCCTTTGAAGGAATTGAATGGACATGAAATTGTTAGCGAGATAAACACGTTCAAGATCATCGATCCCTCTAGTTAGAAAAGAGTAGAAACCATTGACAGAATTTGTAGAGGAAGAATCCATTGTAGTAATCTAAGAGGAAGAATTAATCAGGAGAGGATCACTGATCACTCACTGGCTATAACAACTCTCTATAAGGCTAAAAAAGAAAAGCGATGGGGTGGTAACATAAGAGTAGTTGAAAAAGAAGAAGAAGAAGAAGGTGGGTGTGTGTTTGTGGGGGAGAGAAAAGGTTACACAGATGAGGGGTATTTAAATTGAGAGAAGCGAAGGGAAGCATAAGAGAGAAAGAATGGAAGGGAGGGAATATCTTAGAAGCTCAGGTTTCTAAGGTTGAAAAGGATTGTTGGGAGCAATGATGGGTGTTTCCTATAGAGGGGAAAGGATGATTGGTAATATGCCATTTTCATAGTTTAATGGGCAGAAAGGAAGAGAAAAGAGGGGAAAAAAAATTAAAACAATTAAAGAGTCGCAAAATAAATAAACAAGAAGAATAAGAAGAAGAAGCGGAATTTACCATAAAGGAAAAGAAAGAGAAAGAGATGAGATAAAAGGCTATGAGACATGAATTTTCCATGAGCTCTCTTCCAATTTCTTACTTTTGTTGTGTGTTCTTTTCTCCTCCCTCCTACTATTAAATTATACCTATCATAATATTGTCAATATATATATATAATATTAAGATGTGTATGCCACATAAATTATAATACGGGAGAGAGAAAGAGAGGGGCACCCAAAGTTGGGATATATATATATATATATAATTGTTATTTATAATTATAATTATATAATATAGTAGTTGGCAATGTTGTATGATGATAGAGTGAGGTTTTTTATTGGGTTGTAGAAAGTTTGACTGAGTTGTTGACTGAGATTCTGTTGCTTCTACAACTTCTAATTCCTTTCTCCTTTCATCCATTTAGATGCGAGTCTTCGCTTTTGATTTTAGTGCTTGCTTTGGCTTCTTCTTCCCACCTTTTCTTCCTCGAGCAACTGACTTTCCTCCTTTACTTCCCCTCCATTCCATGGAAATTTGTGGGTTTATTTCTCCTAGATATATTTTCTTGTTTCTGTTGATTTTTCTTTTTTCTTTTTTTTTTTTATTTTCAAAAAGGACGAATTGGAATGATGAGGTTCTTTGTATATGTGTGTTCCGTAACCTTCTTTCTACTATGCAAAATCAGTCTTTTTAGGCCTTGTATCTAATTTTATACAGTAGTAATTTCGCTTCTTTTCCTCTCGGGACAAAATGGATGATTTAGTCTTATTATATATACTTGCAGCCTAACAACTTAAAAGTCAATCCAAGCCGTTCATTTGGCAGAGCTTTAGGACCCATCAAACGGCGGATCTGAAAAAAGGGATCCTGTGACTTCGTCTTTCTGATTCTTTCGTTTGTTTATTATACTATGATCTTTGGCCTCCAAATTTTTTCCATTTGACTAAATGGTTTTCTAATGATTAATTGGTCCTGTTAGTTAATCAATCGACGGCAACGGCAACGGCAACTGCAATAGAATGTTTAAAGTTGCGGGGAGGAGTATTTCCCTTTCATTCTCTCATTATATATTGCCTCATTTTATCTTAATAATCCATTATTTTATTTTTCATATAAAAAATAAAAACACATGAAATATTATTTTTTTATTCCTTTTATTTTTTGGGTAGCTGGCGGGTAGAGGGGACCATGAAATCTTAATTATATCGAGTTATGTTTCATTTCAAGAAATTTGGTTTAGTAGGGTGCTCGTGGGTTTTTGGAGAATGGGACATTTTAAGAGTATGTTGGTCTTTTGAGATTTCATTGGAAAGTGAAGAGGAACTAATGTCTAGGGAGCATTATTTAAGGGCATTGATATGGGCGCCCATTATCTTTGATCTAGAGGGGTAAATTATAAATTAGTTCCGCTTGGTTTGATAAATAAATAAATTAATTCTTTTTATTTTAAAAACTAATTATTTAATTTTTTAACTCATAATTAATCTAATATTTATATTATTTTACAAAATGTATTATTATTTTATTATTTTTATATTTCGTAAATAAAAAATAAAATAATTAGTTTTTGAAATTAATTTGTTTCTTAAAACAAGAAGTACTGTTTTCTAAGGAGCACTGTTCAAAATAAACGAACAATTGTAGTACTTTTTTATGTGGTGCTCTTGACCAAAAAGGGCTCCTTCATTTCATCTGATCCCTTGAGTTGGGTCTGCACTTGTCCTTGTGTAAGGAGTCAACTCCATTTTTTGTTCTTAATGGTATGGTTCACGACTCAACTCTAATTCAATTCCGCCTGTCGGCATCAATTTAATCTTCTTCTTCTTCTTCTTCTTTTAATTTGATCACATAATGTTGTGAATTCAAGGATCTTACTTGGATCCAATTTGGATGAATTTCAAGGTTAATAGATTGTTTTATTTGTTATCAAATAATCGACTTCGAATTCGAAAACGATTCTTTAATTAATAAAATGGCCATCTTTTGAGGGGATTATGGCTCCATCGGGAACTCTAATTAAGCCTATATCACGAAATAATTCACAATATCATGCATGCTAGAACAGGATGGATAAATGTACTAAATGATCCGATTAACTCGTATCAAGTGACATGGCTAACTCATGAATTAGTAACAAACATTGCAGAAGCCAGCTCAAAATGTAAGAACTTCCCCAGATTTGCCAAGCAAAACAAATTATAAGTACTTGGCTACTTCAAATGTTGCCAGGTAACATGGGGTAGCTGTAGCCTATAAAATTAGGATCCAGTGGGTGGGTTGGTGAGGAGTCGTCTGTTTATCTATGGCAAAAGATGGTCTTTTCACAAATATAGCAAAGCAATACGAAAAAATTCACCCTCTAGCTAAACCAAAAGCAAAAGGGCAATGTCTTTCTTCTTCTCTTTTTTCCATGTTTATGATGGGGATATTTTTTTTTTTTTTTTTTTTTTTTAAGGAGTAATGAGATGCAATTTTGTATGGAGATTTAGGTCAATTGAATTTACATCATCCTTATATGAACATGGAAGCATGAGTATAAGAAAAGAAAGAAAAAATCACAATAATTTAATTAATGATAAAGAAAGTAAAGTCAGCAATACTTGAGTTTAATCCTAACTACTGCGGAAGTAATAAATTGCATAATTTTAAACTGTACCCTTACTTACTTTGGTTCACGATCAAAATAGGGACGCATTTGATGGCAAGATTTGGCTGGAGGGGATCCTCCTTTCATCCCACCATGTCGTCACTGGATTTAACCAATGTAGGGGAATGTTTCATTTTCTTCTTAATGATCCTAGAAGGATACAACTGGATGGTCCATAGTCACCCTTAACACTTGAAAATGATACAAAGGAATAATTGTTCACATAGAAATATGAAAAAGGAAAAGAAGATTTCTCTCTCTCTCTCTCTCTTTAATGTAACATTGGGGAAAAAAAAGGCCATATCCCATAAATTGAGCAAGTCAGGGTTTGATATGCTTCGTATTGGCAAGTTGGGTACCATATTAATTTCCAAATTAAATTGGGGGTAGCCAGGGGACCAGTACTGAAACTTCTTTCCATTCTTCAATTTTTTATGTTAATGATAATAAAGAAGTTTCTGAAAAGCCTACCTTGTTTCAAAGCCAAGTGATTTGCAAACATTTCTGCTGATATTAATAATGGGGCCCCAACTCTGGTTTTGGGTTTATGGTATGGAATGAAGGGAATGTGACTTTCAATTCAATTTGGTGCAGGTTGGAGTTGGATTTGGAATTTAATTAATTTTAATTCCCCCGTTAGAATGATTCCACTGTGAAGCAATAAAAGAGTTTATAGTCTAACAATAGTAGTCTCTTACAAGACCAATTTAAATCTTAATATATTAATTCTATTAAAAATCTTAAATATACGTGTTAAAAAAATCTTAAAAAAAAAAAAAAAAAAGGATAATGAAGCAACAAACAAAGTGGACCGCTTCCTTTTTCTTCTTTCCTCCCGAGACGGAAAAAAATCTGATTATGTACATGTTTTATTTTTATTTTATTTTTTTGGAAAAACAAATTCAAACCAGCTTAGTCAATTCTATTTCTATCAGCAAATCTGGAGAATCCCAGTCCTGCTGCTCAACACACGACAACAATTGAGAAAAAAACAACAAAAGAAAAAGAAATCCGAAAGCAAAAACACAAAAATTTACATCAAATTATCTATCTACACGACTTGTTTAAATTACTCTTAATTATAAATGGTAACCTTACAATATTAATAGATTTGAGAACCTAATATTTGATATTTTTAATATTTTTTGGTGCTGAAGAGAAAAAAACAAAAACTAGGCCCCTGATAAAGGCAACACCACAAGAATCAACAAGGAGCAGCTCTGCAAACCCAGAGGAGTATGCCAGTCACACATCGGAGAATTTTGACTGGCACCGAGTTTAGCCAAGAAATCAGCACAGTACTTGGCCGCCTTCAGAACATGGGACAAAGATAACTGCCAATCACACCGAAGTCAGTTTTGAATATCTGAGACATTGCAAGCTCCAAAAGATGTGTTTATCATTGCAGCCAAGCAAGATCAAGTTAACAGCCTCAAGAGAATCAGAATCCACCAAAACCTTCCAATAACTTGCTTGCCAAGCTAGAAACAAACCATGTCTAATAGCCACGAGTTCCACACACATATTGAAGACGATACCAACATGACCAGAAAAACCCAAGAGCCAGTCATCCCTATCATCGCGAAAGATACCGCCAAAACAAGCACGGCCCGGATTCCCTAGGGAGTTGCCATCAACAGTCATCAACTGGTGGAACCCAAAGAAACCAACCTGCCGGAACGCTGATGAGCTCTATATTAGACACTATAATATAGAGTAATAAATTCTTTTTATTGGAGGAAATGGCATCGTAATTTTTTTTTTTAAAAAAAGAAACGGTATAAAACATTGACGCATAGATCAGCTAATTATAAACAGGATATAAAATATTATGTTTTTTTTTAATAATTATATATGAGCTTTAGAGGAATTTTTATTTTATTTATATTGTCACTGAAGTTTAAAATATCTTATAAA